TTGGTAGTGAATAGTGGTATGAATAACTTATGAGATGTCTGGGGCCATTTTACTTTCAAAGGAGTATCCATACAGATCTAGCTTATAATACAGATCTAGCTTATAATGCAGATCTCAGTTCCATGATAAAAACCATTGATAGGTTTATTTCTGCTTTTTTGTTTAAAAGGAATAATGACATGGACAGTGCATGTGTGATTATGTTCAGATGGGTTAAGACTTTGTTTTTTAGGCACCAACTGTTGCAGTATCTCAGTGATTTAAAACCAATGCTGCACATTTAATCAAGCCATCACTTATATGCAGCACTATTCCTTCTCCTTTTTTGAGCATAATATTATCACCCATCCCCTTTCTTTTAATACCCACCAGAATATTTCTTTGCTTCTCAATACTAGAAGTAGGAGAGGGCCTCTTAGAATATTCTTTGACTATATAGAAGTCTCAGTCTGACTAGAAGAGATGCTGGATAGTGTCAGTAGAGTTTCAGTGGTATTGAAGTAAGAAAAACAATGATCAGCAAACTTCTAGCAGGAAAATGAAATATCAAAGCAGTCTTTCAAATAGAGAACTGCATCAGAAGTCTTAGAAGAAGAAAGTTGGTTATAGGCCCGCATGGAAGATCGGGAAACTGAATGTGTTAGCCTCGTTAAATAAAGTCGTTACTTACTTTCTCACTCACTCACTCACTAACTTTGAAAAAGTGGAATTATCAGTTTTATATCCCTGATATATTTCTATAAACCACTGAAAAGCATGTAATAAACAGTAGTATATTATATGAAAAACAGACATATAAGAATTGCTGTTATTGAGGTAGAAAAAAGATAAGCAGTTTTGTTATTGAAATAAAAAAAGAGCCAGTTCAACCAGGGGATTCTCCCAGAATAGGTTTTGAACACAGAGAAGTAGTTTGTCCATAATGTGTTAACCAAGTTCAGCATCAAGGTATTATTATGTTATAGGTAGTTGCTGAAAAAGGTTAAAACTGTTTTTAATATGCAGGGAAGAAAGTATTAACACTGCAAAATATGAGGCAGAGTTATGGTTCTTGTGCACTGCACTTCTCCACTATTAGATCTATCTGTCTTCAGTAGAAACTAGTTTTCTTACAGTTGGAGTTACATTGTGGACAAAAATTAAGTATGAAAAAGACAAAGGCTGTTAATACTCAAAAGTTATAATGTGCACAGTTACGGTTCTTGTGCACTGCTCTTCTACTCGATGAGATCTATCTATCTTCTAAGTTTCTTTTTGATACCTCTCTTGGTTTCTGGGTTGTGTACAAGACAAAGTTCAAAGTGTAAAAATTATAAAGGGCAATAACTCTAACATTAAGCAAGGCAGAGTGAAGGTTCTTGTGCAGTTCACTTTTACTAATGAGATCTATCTACCTACAAAGTTTCTTGATATCTATTTAGGTTTCAGAGTTAGTCCCGGTCAAAGTTCAAAGTGTAAAATGAAATAAAAGGGCAATAAGTCCAAAATTAGGCAAGGCAGAGTTATGGTTCTTGTGCACTGCACTTCTTGTCTACCTACTTAGTTTCTTGTTGATACCTTATGTAGTTTCAGACTTATGTCTCGGACAAGAAAATGCAGACAGATGGAAAAGCGGCGACTTTATAGAGCATAAAAAAGGACCAGCAATTATACTTGAAGTAAGAAAAAATGGATCAGCAATATTGAAGTAGAAAAAAAAAGATCAGCAGTATTTGAAGGAGAAAAAATTGATCATCTGTATTTGATGTGGAAAAACCAATCGACATATTTGAAGTAGAAAAATGGATCAACAGTATTTGAAGAAGAAAAAATGGATCTACAATCTACAGTATTTGAAGAAGAAAAAAAGAGATCAGCAGTATTCAAAGCAGAAAAAGCAGTATTTGGTGTAGAAAAATGGATCTGCTTATATGAAGTAGAAAAATGGATCAGCAGTATTTGATGTAGAAAAATGGATCAGCATATTGAAGTAGAAAAAATGGATCAGCAGTATTTGATGTAGAAAAATGGATCAGCATATTGAAGTAGAGAAAATGGATCAGCAGTATTTGATGTAGAAAAATGGATCAGCATATTGAAGTAGAAAAAATGGGTCTGCAGTACTTGAAGTAGAAAAAGAGATCAGCATACTTGAAGTAGAATTTTTGATTCAGAAAAATGGATCAGCATATTGAAAAAGAAATAAAATGGATCATCAGTTTTAGAAGTAGAAAAAAATGGATCAGCAGAATTTTAAGTAGAAAAAAGGATCAGCATATTTGAAGTAGAAAAAATTGATCAGCAGTAATTGAAGTAAAAAAAATGGATCAGCAGAATTTGAAGAAGAAAAATGGATCAGCAGTATTTGATGTAGAGAAAAAGAGATCAGCATATTTGAAGTAAATAAGAAAATTAGCAGTATTTTAAGAAGAAAAAAGAGATCAGCATGTTTGATGTAGAAAAAAAGAGATCAGCTTTATGAAGTAGAAAAAAAATGAATCAGCAGTATTTGATGTAGAGAAAAAGAGATCAGCATATTTGAAGTAGAAAAAATAAATCAGCAATATTAGAACTGGAAAAAAATGGATCAGCAGTATTTGAAGACTAAGAAATTGATCATCATATTTGAAGTAAAAAAATGGATCAGCAGTATTTGAGGTGGAAAAAAAATGGATCATCATATTTGAAGTAGAAAAAATGGATGAGCAGTATTTCAGGTAGAAAAAAAAATGGATCAGCAGTATTTGAAGTACATGTAGACAGAAAAGAATCAGCAATATAAGTAGTAGAAAAAAAAGATCAGCATATTTGATGTAGAAAAATGGATTAGTAGTATTTAAAGTAGAAAAATTGGATCAACTCTATTTGAGGTAGAAAAAATCAACAGTATAAAACTACTAGTAATTAGAAAAGTGAAAAGGGCATAATTATCAAAAATAATTTGAAAATTCATGACAGATTATGTCCTCTTGTCTGGAAGTGGGGATGATGGTCTTGTAAGGTTAAAAGTTGCAGAGCAAATGATTATACCCCAGGGTATAGGAAATAAGTGGGGTAGTATGAACAATTTAAACAAAAGTGTGACGCCAATTCTTTGGTAAGTCAGGATAGAACGACTGTTATATAAATATAATAGTCGAGAAAAAATGGATCAGCTTTCTTTAAGTTGAAAAATTGGATCAGCTCTCTTTAAATTTATTTCAAATTGTGCTGATCTTTTATTTTTGTTATGTATAGAGATAGAAAATATGAGCAAGAACATTGGATCAATAATGTTGCCTATCCATTTGAATGATTATAAATTTGATTCCATAAATTTTTGTTAGTGAACAAAATTAATGAAACTTATACAAAATTACCATCTTTGATTGTTTTTGAGATTTTTTTTGTCTCTGAAAAACAAATGATAGTTTTAACTTAGTTATTTCTGGAAAGGAAATTCAACCAAAATAGGAAGTTTATTAAGATTTATCAACCATTAGATATGTGGAGATTGTGACCGAAGATGGGACTTCAAGACAACCAGTTGAGCACCTTCTGTTGACTGGTGTATTATTTTCAGTCAATGATTGTGAAGTCTTCTGGTGAAGAATTGCAACATGGCATTGTGGGTACAACACAGAGAGTAACAATTAAACAAGAGTGCCATAATGGCCCTTATATCGCTCACCTGACTATGAATATCCTCCATGACAAGGAACAAGTAATGTTGAAAACGATAAATGAAAGCAGATATAATCAAAGCACAGAAAGCGCTGAATTTGTTTGGGTCTCAGAATGTTAGAAAGGTGAAGGTTGTGAGATTATAAAACAATTTGTTTTTGTATAGTGCCAGATCCAATGCTTTCCAGCGTTTTAATTGTAGTAGACTGGCTATAAGACTAATTGCAACACTGATATACCATCCAATGTTTATTTGATTTAAACAATTTGAAAAAAAAATTAGTTGCCTTAACTGGGATTGAACTCCAGACCTCTCGCTTCCTAAGCGAGCGCGCATACCCCTCAGCCACGGTGAATTTATATGTTAACGGCCTGAAGAAAACCATATTATTCTAGTTAGGGTTTGTAACGACGCTAACTGTTGTTTAACACTTGTGTAAATTACCATGGCGCTTACTACAAGCATGTATATCTATAAAGAATAAAACAATATTAGAAATCTTCGACTATTCGGGAATTATTTTGCTTGAAAATTAATGTGCCTGTCATGTGACCATATTTACGCAGTGATCCCCCCTAAATTGTTCGGCCTAAGTGTTACATATGATATCACAAAGTTCATATTTGGATCTGAAATACTTTACTGGTTGCTTTTGCTAAGGGAAAACAACAGTTCCATAAGATGTCAGTTTGCTATACAAAATGAACGGTAGATTCACTTGTTGCTATGGAATGTTAATGTTTGCTGGTTGCTATGAAATTAACAGTCTGCTATGAAAAGTCATTGGCTACTATGAAGTCACTGGTTGCTATGGAAACTAAGCTTAAGCTCTTGTAGATTTAGGGAATATTTTTTTTTAATTTATACTATATACATAGTTAAATAGTAAATTATGTTCATCCGGGGCGGTGCAATTTTTAACTGAGGGCTATTATTTGAACAATTTTTGTTGAGTTCAACAAGACAATGTTTCATACCAAATATCTAAGCTAAAGCTTCAATAGTATATTCTAATATAATTCCCATTTTTCCCTATTGAACATTTATTTATGTTATTATGCAATAAAATCACTGTTGACGTTCTATATTTAGACAAATGACGTAATCATTATGCATTTGACACAACCACTACAAATGTGATGCACTGAAAATATGTACGGAAACAAATCAGGCGCAGTTTAGGTTAATATCAGGTATGGCACCATTTATTTGTTGATGTCCTGTTAGAATCAAAATTATATATCCAAATCGGTGATTTAAACGCTTGGTAAAATCACTGTTCTTCGTATGCACATCATTATATCACTCTGGCTATGTGTCATTTTAAATGTTTACTCAACAATGACAAGAAGACAGCTATTTTTAACTACTTTATTACCAAATGCTTCCCATTGTGAGATCATGATTTAATGAAATGTAAATGCATCTAAAGTTTCTCAATAACAAAACATTTAAAACTAGAACTATCACTAAAAGTGATTAATACCCCCACAAGACTGCTTCGGAAATGAGGATGTTACTAGTAACAGAATACCTTGTAAAAGAATTGAAATATAGAGTTATGGTTGTGGGCAAATAAAGATAGTTGTGGTTCTTGTATATTGCATTTCCTTTCAATGTGGTTGACCATTGAAGAAGTTTTATTGAATTACTCTGTAATAAGTCCAGAAATACAAAGAAAAGGAACAAAGGGCAATAACTCTATAAATACTTAAGATGGAGTTATAGTTCTTGTGCACTGCACTTCCTCCCTCTTTTGTGCTTGACCATTGTATGAAGTTGTTTTGAATTTCAACCAGTATGTTTTAAGTTATGCTCCAGACAAGGAAAAGTATCAAAGGGCAGTAACTCTGTATTTTGTCAAAATGGAGTTATGGCTCTTATGCACTGCACTTCCTTTTAATGTCCTTGACAACTGTATGAAGTTGTATTGAATTCCAAACAGTAGTTTTCAAGTTATGCTCTGGACAAGGAAAAGTAACAAAGGGCAATAACTCTGTAATTTGTCAAGATGGAGTTATGGTTCTTGCGCACTGCACTTCCTCTCAATGTGCTTGACCATTGTATGAAGTTATATTGAATTCCAACCATTAGTCTTCAAGTTATGCTCCGGACAAAAAAAAAGCAATGGAAAAGTAACAAAGGGCAATAACTCTGTAATTACTTTAGATAGAGTTATGGTTCTTGTGCACTGCACTTCCTCTCAATGTGCTTGACCATTGTATGTAGTTATAATGAATTCCAACAATTAGTCTTCAAGTTATACTCCGGACAAAAGAAAGCAATGGAAAAGTAACAAAGGGCAATAACTCTGTAATTACTTTAGATAGAGTTATGGTTCTTATGCACTGCACTTCCCCTTATTGTGTTTGACAATTGTATGAAGTTGTTTTGAATTCCAACCAGTAATTTTCAAGTTATGCCCCGGACAAGGAAAAGTAACAAAGGGCAATAACTCTGTAATTAGTCAAGACAGAGTTATGGTTCTTGTGCACTCCACTTCCTCTCAATGTGCTTGACCATTGTATGTAGTTATATTGAATTCCAACCATTAGTCTTTCAAGTTATGGTCCGGACAAAAGAAAGCAATGGAAAAGTAACAAAGGGCAATAACTCTGTAATTACTTTAGATATAGTTATGGTTCTTGTGCACTGCACTTCCCCTTATTGTGTTTGACAATTGTATGAAGTTGTTTTGAATTCCAACCAGTAGTGTTCAAGTTATGCCACGGACAAGGAAAAGTAACAAAGGGCAATAACTCTGTAATTAGTCAAGATAGAGTTATGGTTCTTGTGCACTGCACTTCCTCTCAATGTGCTTGACCATTGTATGTAGTTATATTGAATTCCAACCATTAGTCTTCAAGTTATGGTCCGAACAAAAGAAAGCAATGGAAAAGTAACAAAGGGCAATAACTCTGTAATTACTTTAGATAGAGTTATGGTTCTTGTGCACTGCACTTCCTCTCAATGTGCTTGACCATTGTATGAAGTTATAATGAATTCCAACAATTAGTCTTCAAGTTATACTCCAGACAAAAGAAAGCAATGGAAAAAAGTAACAAAGGGCAATAACTCTGTAATTACTTTAGATAGAGTTATGGTTCTTATGCACTGCACTTCCCCTTACTGTGTTTGACAATTGTATGAAGTTGTTTTGAATTCCAACCAGTAATTTTCAAGTTATGCCCCGGACAAGGAAAAGTAACAAAGGGCAATAACTCTGTAATTAGTCAAGACAGAGTTATGGTTCTTGTGCACTGCACTTCCTCTCAATGTGCTTGACCATTGTATGTAGTTATATTGAATTCCAACCATTAGTCTTCAAGTTATGGTCCGGACAAAAGAAAGCAATGGAAAAGTAACAAAGGGCAATAACTCTGTAATTACTTTAGATAGAGTTATGGTTCTTGTGCACTGCACTTCCCCTTATTGTGTTTGACAATTGTATGAAGTTGTTTTGAATTCCAACCAGTAGTGTTCAAGTTATGCCACAGGACAAGGAAAAGTAACAAAGGGCAATAACTCTGTAATTAGTCAAGATAGAGTTATGGTTCTTGTGCACTGCACTTCCTCTCAATGTGCTTGACCATTGTATGTAGTTATATTGAATTCCAACCATTAGTCTTCAAGTTATGGTCCGAACAAAAGAAAGCAATGGAAAAGTAACAAAGGGCAATAACTCTGTAATTACTTTAGATAGAGTTATGGTTCTTGTGCACTGCACTTCCCCTTATTGTGTTTGACAATTGTATGAAGTTGTTTTGAATTCCAACCAGTAGTGTTCAAGTTATGCCCCGGACAAGGAAAAGTAACAAAGGGCAATAACTCTGTAATTAGTCAAGATAGAGTTATGGTTCTTGTGCACTGCACTTCCTCTCAATGTGCTTGACCATTGTATGTAGTTATATTGAATTCCAACCATTAGTCTTCAAGTTATGGTCCGGACAAGGAAAATGCAACGGACGTATGGACCGACCGACCGACCGACCGCCCGCCCGACCGACCAACCGACCACCGGGTGACTCCTATATACCCCCCCAAACTTCGTTTTTGGGGGTATAATAACAAGAGCTGTCAGTAAAGACAAAGGCGCTCGACTATTCTCCCTGCTTGACAGTAAGAAATGGGGGCATAACTCTGTAAAAGGTAAATCCGGTAATGGGACCTGTACCTAATATGTAAGATAATCACAGAGAACAAGTGTGTGAAGTTCAAACCTATATCTTTTGATAAATTTTGAGATGCCAATTTGCATGCAAAAACAACCAAAACCAAAGTGTGACGGCACCAGCTATGCGGACAATGGCGCTGGGATGAGTAATCTTCTATATTTTTCAAATAAGTGAGCTTAAAATTGTTCAGATTCAAAAAGGTCATTATACATTGAAATGTTTGTATTGTAAAAAATTTCAATATTGTGAGTATTGACAGGGCAATAAATACAATAATACCCTGGTGTTGAGAATTATGCAAAAGCAATGTTACACAATTATATTAACAAAAAATGAAAATATTAAAACTAATTGTAAATAAGACACATAAGAGCCATCAAAATCTCTCCAACCAGTTTTGCCATTTTGTCAATCAAAAGGTAGAATATCATCACTTAGAAACCTGGAAACACTAAGAAACCTTGAAGTATAAAGATATGTACACAAAGTCTTAGAAACCTGGGGGGGTGTAGATATACACTTAGAAACCTGAAGGTGTGAAGAAATACACTTAGAAACCTAGAAACCCGGATGTGTGTGTACATAATACACTTAGAAACCTGGATGCATGTAGATATACACTTAGAAACCTGGATGTGTGTAGATATACACATAGAAACCTGGAGGTGTGTAGATATACACTTAGAAACCTGGAGGTGTGTAGATATACACAAAGAAACCTGAAGGTGTGTAGATATACACTTAGAGACTTTGATGTGTGTGTACATATACAGTAAAGACTGTTTACAGTGACCTTCGATGGGAGAAAAGAAAAAAGGTCACTATAGACAGGGAGTCACTGTGGACAGTCTCTACATAATTCGGATATATGAACATATCATACCAATATTTTGTTGAAAAGCAGGATAGTACCATACTAAGGGTTTAATTATTTTTATTGATATTAAACATATCAAATATCTTTTATAAAAAACAAGAGAGTATTAAAATTGCATGTATAATTGGTTAAGATTATAAACTACACTATAACATTAGTATTTAAAAGTTACATATTCATTATAATGTATATAATTTTATATATTGATAAATCTGTTTGTAAAAAAATGTTTAATTTCAATTTTACTAATGAGATGTTACTGTAGAGACATTTGATTTTGTATAATCAGCCTGTTTACTTTACGGAGTTCAATGTATTAATAAAACATTAGATACAAATCTTCACATAATTTCTACTGATAAGTGCTCCGAAAAAATTAACAATCGAGGTTTCAAATATAACCACACCTTTAAGACGTTTGGCATTGTTTATCTTTACTCGCCAAAACACCGCAGCAATTATGTATATGCAGGTGTCTTCAATCATTCTATCGGCGAAAATTGATTGAATCTGTCGCCATTTTGTGTAATTGTCAACAAACAGCCACAGTGTATTAGCGTGTCACCAATTGGTCAATGCAAAGTGCCGTAGATACCATGCGCGTTCTGATTCGTCAATCGAATGAATACGTAATGAGAAAGATAAACATAGTGAATTCTTGCCTTGCGGCGTTAATTGAACTTTGTTGATGTTGACACGCATTCTTAATTAGCAGATTAACGGTAATTGGTTGTAATTGAGAGGTAAACAAATTATTAACAGACCTAGCGGCGTAAATAAGTATGACGGAAAATTATAAAAATCGGGCTGAAGTTTGTTTAAGGCAAAGTCGCTGATCCGAAGGCGACTTCTTCGCCAAAGTCGTCACCTAGTTCAAGCCTCGCCCCCCTTGCAAAAGTCGCTGTTCACGGCTCAAATACCGTAACGGGTGACTAAATTATGGTCGTTGTACGGACTAGACAGGGAGTCGCTACATACAGACCATTTATATAGTAAATACTGTTCGGCGCACCCAAATATGGTCACTAAAGACAGAACGTCGCTGTATGCAGGGGGTCGCTAAGACAGTCTTTACTGTACACTTAGAAACCTGGATGTGTGTAGATATACACAAAGAAACCTGGAGGTGTGTAGATATACACTTAGAGACCTCGATGTGTGTGTACATATACAATTAGAAACCTGGATGTGTGTGTAGATATGCACTTAGAAACCTGGGGTGTGTAGATATACACTTAGAAACCTGGATGTGTATAGATATACACTTAGAAACCTGGAGGTGTGTAGATATACACTTAGAAACCTGGATGTGTGTAGATTTACACTTAGCAACCTGAAGGTGTGTAGATATACACTTAGAAACCTGGAGGTGTGAAGATACACTTAGAAACATGGAGGTGTGTAGATATACACTTAGAAACCTGGATGTGTGTAGATATACACTTAAAAACCTGAAGGTGTGAAGATACACTTAGAAACATGGAGGTGTGTAGATATACACTTAGAAACCTGGATGTGTGTAGATATACACTTAGAAACCTGAAGGTGTGTAGATATACACTAAGAAACCTTGAGGTGTGTAGATATACACTTAGAAACCTGGATGTGTGTAGATACACTTAGAAACATGAAAGTGTGTAGATATACACTAAGAAACCTGACAGCGTATAGATATACACTTAGATATGTATATTTTGATATTAGCAGAAATAAATAAACAAAAACACAACCAAATCAGTAACAAAGTTAAAACTAAACTAAAAAGTTTTTTAAAAGAGTATTTCTTAACATTTCATTTCAACATTTCTATCATTAACATTCTGTTCAATAATGTCTGTATTTTAAATGTCTGAAAACAGATTAGTAATGGTAAAATATATATATTTAAAATGAAGCCCCAATTTTTGTTCACAAGAGGTTACATCCCGGATGTAATCCACATAAAGTATGTTTAGTATCCCTGTAACTCTGGAATGTTTCCGTATTGTAGAAGACAGTCAGGATTCGCCAGCGCCCCTTTCTGTACAACTTCTTGTCCCATAATCATATTCCTGACAGCCACTTCAACCTTTTTCCCACTGATTGTATACTGAAATACATTATAGAGAGTTTGCATACAAAAATACATTATAGAGGGACAGCATACTGAAATTAAGTTTCATCTATTCAAATACATTATACCAGCTGTAAAATCATACAATAATACATTCTAAAGTGATTATGAATGTGTGTAACAATTGCTGTCCTTATATATTTTCTTTATTTCCAGGGGAAATATATTCACAGTCTGATCTGCAATCTAGTTACTTTAAAATTAGACGAACGTTAAGCCATATAGCAGTAATTACATACTGGTATATCACTGCATGGAAGAATAAAAGCTGGCACATGTCTCGCTGTCAGATACTTTCTGATGCACGTTTTCACATTGGACACAAGTTCCTGCGTGAACTCCGTACCCTGCGCCATCTTGAGGAACAAAATCACACGCTCCTCTGACACGTCTTGTTTCCGCTGTGCCACACAAATACTGTCCTGTATCTCCTTGAATGACTCCACTGAAAATATTAGTACATTAGTATACTATATAGAGGACTTCTTTTTAATGGATACATTAGATTTAGACCTATATCAAAAATTAAATGTTTGTACACTAGTCACATACAAAATATGAAATTAAATCAATGGTTAAAAAGTAGTTTTAAATATATGTACGGTTCATGACCAGTTTACTGAATTACACAGCCTGTGTGATATATAACAGCAGCAACACATGCAATGTTAACACTTGTCTGTTAAAAATTCTAAGTTTAAATGGGGGATCACTCTAAAAATATTGCTTTCAGAATTATCCCCCTGTCTCTCAACTGCATCTTGTAATGATAAAGCAAGTATTCCAAGTTTCCTGTTCATAACTTTACATCCAATTCTTGCAGAGGAAAGATAAATTATCATATGCCCCACTGTGCATTATTTCAGGCATGTCAGAGAGTAGTATTACCGACCTTCAACAAGACACCTAGATTATAAATCCATGTTTACCTATATGATAGATCTCTGAACTTCCAAACCTTACACCATTTGGATTCAACGTACCATCACTGAAAATATACAGGTTTATTACTTTCAGCTTTAATTATTACAGTCATTGTAATTGTTCTCTTATTAAATTCTGTTTCAATATACTACTTTCATGTGTGTATAAAATTCCTGGTAACATGAAAATAATAATATCTGTTTATTTACTTATTGAGTCAGTAACACATTTATATACCAGCAGGCAATGAAGTATTGGACAATAATAAACTTTAATCTCAAGGGTATATTTTTGATAAAGACCTAGAATACATTCTCACCTGCGACCAAGCATAACAATGCCTCCTGTTTGGCTGTTGAACCTACAGAAGTCCCCATGTGCCCAAACATCTGGAAAATTACAAATTATACTTGTAATGAATTTATCACTAGATATTGAAAACCTGAAATGTTTTTACGTTTGGGAATGATGATAATATAAGCAACAAATAAGCTAAGTTATAGCTGAAAGTCAAAAAAACAACAACAGCCTGTTCAGAAATGAAAAAAAAATATTTATACAAACATACTTAGTCTTTTTCAGGTGGAATTTAAGTCATAAATATGTACATATAAAACCATTATAAATGATAATTCAGTATATTCATGAATTATTGGTTAAGTGTAAGACTGTATTAACCTTGAACTTGCTGGAACCTCAAGTGATTAGGCTTTGCAACCAGTATAAAACAAGGCCAGCCTACATAGCCTGATCCTGCTTTACACTGTTGGTAGGTAGCTCAATTATTGTATGTGTATTTTATTATTGAAATAACTTAAATCTGAATGGACTTTTCAAAATACAAAGCAGGGCAAATAAATTCCGCAAGTTATTGGTTAAATCAGGACAAAAACAGAAACTCACCTTTATAAACATTAAAATATGCTTTCTTGTACTTCAGTCCTTGTGGGTCGTTCCAGAACTTTGTGGGCATTGAAGGAAATGGAGTTAAACACACAAGCTCCCCATCCTCATCACACACTTCCTTGCCTACAGAAACATTAATACAGTCTAGTTAATGATGAAATAATTTTTTATCAGATTCACCACATAGAAAGAAAGGAAGAAAACCTCACTCAGATTGTGATTTTAATGATTCAATAACTTAACTTCAATAAGAAAAGGCATTTCTTTGCACCTAAAAAGAAATTAATTGGCTGACAAAATCCACATCTTACATGCCCTGTAGTACTGAATTCTTGATAGCTCTACAGTTGTAAGAGGGACATGTTGAAACTGTAAAATATGGTGGTCTAATTCTTTCCTGTACAGTAAAACACATCAGCTATCACATGATCTTTGTTTTTCTATATTTAAAAGCATAGCCCAAGGTAACCACAAACAATCAAGCAAACTGATTACATAGCCACTTTTCTACATATTTATTGTTCCATTTACAAATAATGTTTTGCAATCAAAAGATATTGTAAAAGAACTAGAGTTATAATGTAATACTGACCACTCAAATCATATGTTTTCATGTCACACCCAAGAACCATTTGCTGTATCTCTCCTCTGTACACTGGCTCTGTCCACGTCTGACCCATAAAACAGGCAATAATATCCGTCCCTCCTGTATGTAAATGATATATATCATAACATCAAATAATTCTGTATAAACAAAAGTCTTCGAGTCAATCTGAATGTCAAGGTTGTTGAAGTATACAATAATGACCAAAGAGCAAATTTTAATAATACAGCTCATGAACTTTCAATGTTACAATATTTTTTATATGAGATTATATACATTTAAACAATTTTTTGAAACAAACCAGGCTAAAGCATTTATTCATTTTTACATATGCGAATATGTATAACATTCTTCCAATCTTTAAATTTCAATGAAGAAGCATCGCTCATACATTACAGAAATTTTAGACATGTGATGAAAATCAAACTTCCTGCAGGACGACTGGCTTCAAATTTCTACTTGACCCACATGCTTTGCTACTAATCTGGCATTTTTGACTTGATTTTCAAGATAAACTTTGCCGATGCAATAGAACCTCGCCCATGCAAGAGACCGCTAAAACTTCTCATAATCAATTTGTTTACATAAATTTAACAAAACAAAACCGGAAACAAAGCTTGTGTTTTAGGTTATGTATAAATCACACACTTTATAGAGCATTGTCAGGCACATTCCAGTCACACCCGTATCCAATTAACAATGCTTTTAGAGCTTTATAAAGTGCACAAATTATACATAACCTAAACACACAAGCTTTGTTTCCAGTTTTCCATCGTTAAATGTAAACAAACTGATTTTGAAAATTCTTGCTTTCTATTACATTGGCAGATTATTGCTCGTCCCGCTGGAGAAGCATACAACAATGTTGTACTCGTCCTGCATTGAAGTCTACTTGTAAATACAAGCGGACGAGTGGCTTTTCAATCCCTGAGCATACGCCTAAAATTTCGAACTGGGACTAGGAATTCATTCATGTGAGAAAACTATCCAGCTAGCTTAAGGAAGGTCAGTGGTTCTACTCTGAAGCTTGCTTGTGTCTGAAATAATGCATTGGCAGGCATTTCAGGTTTTCCTACACCATAAAACCACAAAATTAGCCATTTGACCTTCATTACGTTGGTATGACTGTTAAACAAACCAAATGAAGAAATAAACATGCCTTTCATTATTGTGGCTAGAAGTAAGAGACTTAGTGACATCACACAATTCCAGTTCTCTAACATAACCAATTAGATTATGCACAAATCTTTATTCTTCCCAGGATAAAACTTACCAGTGATGGAACCCAGCAACAGGTCTTGTTTAATTTCCCTGTACACATAATCATAGCTCTGTGGCATGAGAGGGGAACCAGTAGATAATATCATCTTTAGTGACTCCAAATTATGAGTTGTACCTGGATATAATACAATAATCAATTTCATTAAAACATATTGATATACAGAAATTAATCATTATGAATAACTAGAACATTATTCACAACCTAAATATTTTGAGAAAATTTAAGTACTCAATTTTGGGTTATGTCCCCTTATCAGATAAATGCTCTAAGGCTAGGAGGAAAAGTTATCTTAATAATACAAATTTATGTATCACTAATAAGGACGCAGACTGGTAAAAAAAAATAAGTATTAGGAAAGATATTTACACACTTTACCTGGTTTTAATCCCTTGTTTTCCATCACAGCAATCCATTTTGCACTTGTCCCCAATACTGTTACACTAGAAATATATTGAATAAATAATTTCTTAAAACCTATTCCTTGTTTAAACAAAAAAGAAATAAAATTATTTGACAAATCACATCGAGTTTTACCAAAATTTTCCCAAGGATTAATTTATATGAAATTATTTTAGTCTGTTGGGAGCTATATGCTTACTGAGACACTCTTGAATCTGTTCCTGGAACTAACCAGTACTTACATGTAGCAATGACTATAAAGTTTCTTGTTCAAAGAAACAACAGCTTGCCGCTGACAGGGTTTGAACCCACGCTGTCAGCAATCCTTAGATAGCCCAAGGGTTGTGAAGATAACATTGTTTAAAGTAAATTTCTAGTTTCATGTTTGACAGCCCTCATATCATCCTCAGCAGACCAATTTTTTGTAAAGGACCACAAAGGTTCACTTCTATTGAGTTAAATAAAAATCTGTAAACACACATAGGCAGTTAACACATTTTTTCTATTCTTATCTCTAGTGACAATCTTGTTCTAAAATGCATTACCACTTTCTGCCATATTTTGTACAAGACCAAATTATCATTCCTATTTAGCATCATTATCCTTTTCCAATTTTAACACTTAAATTCTTTAAAGCAGACCTCTAGTTTTAGCTACGGTGGCCATCAAATTCAACAGAGCAAAACATTTCTAAGGTGATAGCTCCAATAAAACAAAACTGTACAGAAAATGGTGTGAGGAGATGCAAATCCTTTATCAATTCAGCAATTGCCATGTGAGAAGGTGGTTACAGTAAAGATACCTGCAACTCACAGGCTCAATCCCCCAATCAAGTGCCAGGTGCATATTTGAGTTGTTTTTACAGAAACTCTAAATTTTCATCACAATTGAGCTTAAATTATTACATGTACACATACACATTTTAAACTTTTATCAAATTGATGTCTTACCCTAATTTCTCAATGATATCCCAAAGAATGTTAGCATGTGGAATGAGTGGGGAACCATCATATAACACTATACCTGCACCAACAGCCAGGACTGAAACCAGCCAGTTCCACATCATCCAACCAACCTAAAGAAATTAATCTATGTATACAAAATTGTTTATATCCCAATTTAAAAATTTCGTATAGTCCTAAACATTTATAATAAAGTAATTATTTTGATATCAAAATGCTGTTTAATGACGCAACAATTACAAAGTATTATGTACATTGATTGTTTATGGTAAAATACCCCAAAAACTTATGGATAGTAATATTTCATAACTAGACGATATTGATTTTTAAAATTTTTCACTTTTTTGAGGTTGGGTTAAGTAGAGGTCATGTCCAGCCTTTCTGATGGAGGAAGACTTTGGACACCTCTGTGCATTATTTCAGATAAAATGGGCACCTGAGTAGACCCACCAATGTTCTGTAACCTAGCTGGATAGCTTCCTCAAATGAAAGAATCCAAAGTCCCTAGCAAGATTCGAACCAAGAAAAGTGAGGGTCAAGTGGTTGACTTCAATGATCTTAATAGGGCTGGGGCAAGTATCCGAGTACTCGGATAATCGCGAATCAAAGTAAAAAAAATCGATTTTGAATATTTGTAATCCCAGAGATCGTGGATCGCGTTCTAACTTTTTTTTATATACATTCACTGTTTCTAAAACTCTTAAAATCGAGAAAAATACGATTTGAGTATAAACTATATGAAGTTTACCTTAATGCAATTTGCAGGTTAAAGACCATGTACCATGATGCTGAGCTAGGAAGTAATTGGTTTCAAAACAACAAAACCAAAATACTCATCCAAAGAATAAAAACATAAACATAGTTTATATTTTATATGTTTAATGTTTAGTATTGTTGTTTGTTTTAAATAAACATGTTTTTATAACTAATGTACATGTTTTTATGGCTGTCTTGATAACAAAAGATCTGTGGTTCGATTTGTGAATCGTAAGTGCTGAATCGTGGTTCGGATCGGATCGTCACTTATTCGACGATCCACACCCTTAGATCTTAACCACTCAGCCACATACACTCCTATTAAAATTTATATATGGCAAAGAAACCAAGTCACATGAGGTATAAAACTACATAATGGCAACACCTATTAAAGATGTTTATCAACATATCTACATGTGATAATAATTTGTATGTTATCATTGACCTTTATAAGATACTACTATACCTACTGTTGTATAATATAACATTATATCATCTCTGGTCATATCACTCTGTATCAAATGTTCCTCTAGATGTTTCATTAATGTGCCCTGAAAATAAAGCATAGCCAATACATGACATTTCCATGTTGGGCCCTTTAATGTCAACTAACTGTTTGGTTTTAAGAAATTTTTTCAAGAAAGTAAGCTAAAAAAAGTCATTGGGTCTGTAGTTTCCTTGTTGAGGTGTCTGTCTCTTGCACGAGTTATAGTTCAAACTTTACTCGGATCGTGATCATATTAAATTTTAGTTTAGTTTATACAAATTTGTTTAAGTTCCATTGTGTTGGAAGCTATAAACACTCCCAAATCTATTCCTGGAACCAACCAGTATCAAGCAATGACTGTAGTTTCTTTCATACGGAAACAACGGTTTGCCGGCCCCCGACGAGGATTGCACCCATGCGGCAATTTATGTAGAATTTTATGACATCAGCAACAATTAGTCTAGAGTGTAAACTATATAAATAATAACAAAAAGTCTTTAAAATTTTAGTTCAAGTAAGAAAACAGAATGGTCAGTGAACTTACCCCTGCAGAATGTACCATACATTTTGGCGCCCCCGTCGTACCAGACGAATACATAATATACATGGGATGATTAAACGGGACTTGTTCAAATGACAGGGGCGGACATTTTCCATCTACCAATCCTGATTGGTAAAAATCTTCCAACATGGTACTGAAAAAAATGAACAAATCCCTTAATATTGCAAAATGGAAGAGGTATTTAAAAAAATTTACAATTAGGAATCAATGAAAAATAGGATGAAGTTTGTCGGTGAAATTAAAGAATTTAACTTACTACAGGTTTGGAGCAGTACCTCTAGATGCTTCCAAAAAATCATGAGCACAAAGCAGAAAAATTATCACTTTTTTCGCAGATTCTTTCATTTTTCATTCATGATGGTATATAAGTCGGTGTGAAGATAGGAATAAGACGTCTTAAAGTGCATTTCAGTGAGTGAAAAGGGGAAATTAAACATTTAATCATTCAAGCAATATTTAGCGAGGTGCTCTTATCTCCAATCTCACTCGATATCAAATCTATAACAATAATGTCTGGACTATATGTAATCATACCTGTTTTTGATGTTTGAAATATTACATGAAGCTGATGGAACGAAGGGGATCACAACAACTTTCTCCAAATCTGGTAACCCTAAAATATACATATATACATTCTAAATGTTCTTTACACATGTGTACTTTAACATTCATCCAGTGCTTATAGAAGTATTAAAATGATAATATATGTTCACCACTGTGTCTCAATCAAATACATGTATATCTTTATGGCTGAATATCCCATCATCTTTTCCTTTTGTACTAAAATTCAAAATTTTTTAATTAAGAACTGGTAATTAATAAACATAATAAATAAATCTATTTGATAAAATTAAAGATTTATGCCAACTTATTAAATGAAAACTCTGTTTTACCATTAACAACATTTTCTAACTTTTCAAGATGGTCGTGCACTTTTCCATTGTAATGTACTGCATTAACACTAAATATCATTTTTGGCTGAATCTGGGAAAATCTGTCTAGCACGCCCTAAAAAATATCAAGTTTAAAGTCCTGAGAAAGGTTTCGTTTAAGTAGAATAAGAAATGAAACTATTAATGTGCAGAAAGAAGGAGATTCATTGACCCTAAAAGTTTGAATGGGCACATGCTAAACAACTTTAGTGTTCCTTGATGCAATAACTTTTAGAGATCACAGATAGGTCAAGACATTTCTTCTTGATGGTCTCAATTTGACCATGCTTTTCAATTTTGTAACATTATCAAATTCTTTACAATCTAAAAATATACCTGTCAAAATGGCACCAAGAATAAATAAACAGCTTACATTGTTAAATGGACTCTGTGTGATTTTCATTATGAGTCACATATAGTGTGGATCACTTAGTAACTAAACCCCTGTGCTAAGAAAATGGCAGTGGCAGCCTGTCTCTTTGAAAGTTTACCTTTAAATTGCAAAAATAAAGACTCTGTTTTATATAATTATCACGAATAAATTAAGGTATGAATTATTTACCACAACACCAAAATCAGGAGATGTAGAGCTCCATATTGCACCAATACTAGCTGCAGCTAACATAGCTATCACTGCCTCAGGACAGTTTGGTATATACCCTATAAATAAATTCACATCATTTCAATAGGTAACAATCGTAACTTACATATTTACAATAGCAAAATTAAACAAAATCTTTTTAATATTAAGACAAACATACTGAACCAATGATCATGTAATACAAAAACATGCCAAAGAATAAAAAAAAAAACATGTGTCCACGATGAGATGTAATAGATCACACAATGTCCCACACAAACAAAGATTATGAACACCGACTTACCAACAACCCTGTCTCCAATCTGAACACCAAGTCTCCTCATTGCTGAGGCGTAGACAGCTACTTTCTGCCTCAATTCCTTGAAGGTGATCTTCTCTATTGTCTCCCTACCTTCACCTATACACAGGAATACATGAATGCTCAAATTAACAGAAAAACAGTCATATAAATTTTCTGCCTTAACTGACCATATTAATTTCCGATGTATTGAATAAGACTGTGAACATTTACTACATTTAAAATAATGAATCTATTTTAAGTCCACATAGCCTTTTGTGTGATATGTTCAAAGTCAATGAAAACTAAGCATACTTTGCTATTGTGTACAAGAAATTATGAAATGGCTTTTTTTATCACTCTCAATGCTGTTAATTTGATGTCCTTACTTGAGGTAATACAGTAATTTTACAAAATGCTGATACCTGTTGAGTAAATTGCTACTCTATCATCATCATACTTCAGTAAGTTCTCTGCAAAATTCAGTCTGGAGCCATTAAACCACTCTGGTATTTCTGTGATACTTTTGGTCTTGTCAATAACCTAGTAAATAAATTAAATCAAAATAAGATCTATCTCAAGCTAAAATTTAAAGTTTAAGTTGATAAAGCTAGAGAATATAGAAAGTAACTAAGAAAGCTATCCAACTAGCAGGTAGGTGGGGCATCGTTCTGCTCCTGTGCCAGCCTACGTTAAAATGCATAATGGTCCTCCCGAAAAAATCTAAGGTGTAAGTCTCAGTGTCCGACCTAAATGTTCATCAAGAAAATAACAGTTTTTACAAAATTTAGAAGTTTTACTGTTTAGGGTTGGATATCGTTCTTCACGAAACGGTCCCATACCGATACCGGTACTGATGAAACGATACGGGTATTTTATCGATACTGATACTTTTACAATACCACATCAAATCCTTTGCTGCAAGTATAAGAACTGAAGAGATATAACATGTAGTGCTAGAAAATAAATATGCTACATTACTGGTCTTTCTGAAATTTTATGCTATAAAGTATACTTTTCTCAAGTTCCATGGATGTTTTGTTGTTTTGTGTTTACTCTTTTTTATAACATTTACACATGTTAATTGTAAAATACTTTTACTTTTTCATCAAAAGAACATGACATAATTTAAACACAGAAAAATATCTTATGCAAGACAGCGGTCTGCAGCTGAGAAGTCTACAAATTATTGTTTTAATCTTAATATCTCTACATCTAAAAGAATTTAAGACAGTTGGTAATCTATTATTTTCTTACAGCTATTATTATAACTGTGTAGAAATTTTATTCTGATGCTGATATTCTTGTTTAAACCACATTATTGTTTACTGTAATAAATGAAATCACTGGATTGGTTGGCTAACTTTGCAATTTGGAATTACATGTAAGGGAAATTTCATTAGATGCTTTTTCAAAAAGTCACTTATATTTTTCCAAGGCTGTTATACTACAACAGCACAAAACATATTTTTCCAACCAGTAATTAACTTAGAAATTTGGAAAAAACATGTATATGCACAGACTGTTTCCAAAATGACTTGTTTACATTTTCATGGTAACCTAATATAAAGTCCTTGTAAAAGTCATAAAAGCAAATACCTATGCTTTACAAAAAATAAGGATTTGGTATTTATTAATATTGAATTACCTTTCAATTTTATACATCTTTCATTTTTCAATAGCATGTGCCGTGAACATCTTGCTACAGAAAAAAAGGGTATTGTCCTCACCAAATTGCATAATTCAATACTGCTCAAATACGCAAAAATACTAGCCAACATTTGCAAAAAATCCTACAAAACACTATATGAAAAATGTTTCAGTTGTTTTAAGTATCACAGATCTAAATGTGTAATACACACAAGTTGACATTTGACAGGTGCATAATAGGCTATTCAAAAGAATATGCCTCCCTTTGATGTTGTTACTCTATCACCATCAAAGAGCCGCCGACATTCACACTTTTTGATTGAAGTTCTGTCAGCATTCTTTTGTTAAGAAAATGTATACATCTTTAATAATAATTCAGTGTTACACCAAAAACAAAAGGAGCCATATTTTGGCCTCATTTATGTTCAAATCGTAATTTACGTGTGGATTTGTACATGTGGTAATGAAAGAAAAGAACCTGGAAACATTAAATATGTATTCATTATGAGTGTTTAGAGACTTAAACTGAAAAAAGGATTTAATTATTTTTTAAAAGCATTGTTTGAATTAACAATTGTCATATGTTGGATTTACGGCAAGAGCTGTGTGCGATGTGTTTAGAAGGACTGTGTGCTATGTGCCGATGATTACTCAAGTATTTGATTTGTTTTCTCGTTGTTTCTTTGACATTTAAAACTTACAAACTTTTACCAAAATCAGTTTAAATAATTATATTTTCCTGCCGAGTACAAAAATATTATTATCTTGAACATAAGCGGCACAATACTTTTACAAAAATATCGCGTCACAAACTTCAACTTTGCCGCGAAAGCCGTACTCGCCGCATGATAATACTAGATCATAGTTTGTTTTAAGTGTTTGTAGGCTGTTTTTATTTAAAAATCTTCTTATTTTTTTGACATATTGACTATTTAATTATTTTTTTTTACAAAATTACAAAAGTATCAAATCCAGTACCGGTATTTTACGAAACGGTATATACCGGTAATTTACGAAGTTACTATTCGGTATAGGACCGATACCGGGAACCGGTGTCCAACCCTATTACTGCTTATGTATTAATTTATTTTACTGAGACATAAAATTGTTTTTAAATGAGTAACAAAGATTTGTTGTTCAAGAACAAATAAAAAAGATTTGTTATGATTTTTTTTTTCACTGTAATACTTACACTTTTAAAGGGCTGAGAATGAATTACTTCAGTAAAATGCCAGACTTCTTCCCAGAACTCGGGATAATTATCGCATGACCATCTATGAAACTCTCTGTAGGATTCTAAAAAATAAAAAAAGTATGTACATCACCAATGAAAATGTCTGCATAAAAATACAAGGGAGAGCCATCTGCTGCACTTATAGTTTCCATTACCATTGGCTTTCATTTCGAATGGTTTCAATTCCAATAGCCCTCCCTATCCTTATAAAAGTCCAGGGTTCTCACTAGGACTTTAAAACATGGAGTCCATGGACTCCCAACCCTGAAAAAGTTGGAGTCCTAAAGCGCGTTGCAATTAATATGTTTACAGATTAGTTATTCAATGTTCACAATAGCATTGCTGATATTTTGAATGTTCAAGAGACTTCCAAAGTAAATAGTTATTCAAAAGAAACTCTGAACTACATAGTATAATTATTGTTTTGTTGTTAATATTTATTATGAAATTATTTCATTATAATGCATCAACCCATGGAAAAAAAATATTTTTTTTCACTTTTATACCAAATTTTTCTCTGGTTAAATAAGTCCACTCTTAAGACAAAAAGTTTGTATTTGTTAAAAAAAAACGTAATTGTATATAGGCAGCGTTTACGGTTTAGCGGAATGAATAGGAAATCGTGTACAGAAATTCACACAGTGTGTAAGAGATTCATCCGATCGACGATTATTTTAGCAAATATCTTCAAAAGGGGGGCAATTTAAAGATCGACATTTAAAGATTTAATGTTGATTAAATAATAAAGAAACAATTCATTCGCATGTTTTGGCTTTGAAACCGAGAATTTTTTGCGAAATTTGAGGGTTTCTGGCGAACGTGAAATCGCCGATGTTCGGGATCAATTTTTCGGATAGAGAAAAAGCGTATGTGTACCTGGCATTTCGGCACAATATCTTAAAATTCTTAATACTCTTATAGAAAGTTTTTTGCAAGAATGAAAACTAAAGCAAAATTGTGCCTAGAAAATGCCGAAAATATTCGACAATCATTATAATGCCGAAAATATTCGACAATCATTCAAAATTACACTCAATTGTAATTTGAGAAACAGTCTTTAAACTTGCGGCGTAAATAGTTTCGATAATTTTATCCTTTTGTCGGTAAAATTGCTAATTTCCAATCAACTGGTTGATCAAAGATATAAAATTATCACCTCGTGATATATCTTGTAATTAACATGTACTGTACAGCGCGTGTATACATTAGTCTGATCACTATTGCGTGATAATGATCGGAAGCGTTATCGCTGATTGGCTAATTGCTTCACGGGTCGATGTGCATAGGACCGCCTACCTATAGACTGACACGCGCTGACGCATTTGTGTATTTGTGGTTGTAAACAATCGGTAATGTTTATGCGTCCCCGGGCAAAATTAAGCGTATGTGGAATCCTTGCTCTGAAATATTTGCGTCCAGCTGCAATAAACATGCGTACCGGGACGCCGAAATAAGCGTCCCCGAGAACCCTGAAGTCAAGCTAAAAATAGGTTTGTTTTCTTTGGTATGATGATTTATTTAAACAGTTATTTCAAATAATACTTTCTTTTAATCAGATTTCAAAGCAGAGTACAGACAATCACCAGAATCACTAGAATTTTCCCCTGCGTAATAGGAAAACAAGAGACTTGATAATGTAGGAATTAACAAAGAGGAAGATTTCATTTTAAAAGAATACAAGGCATATATGAATCTTGGATATTGACCAAAGAATTTCTTTGTAATTTAAGAAGGGCCATAATTCAGTCAAAGTTTATGACAGAGTAATAGGCCACGGAAAGTGACTTATGATTATCATGATCCTGAATACTTATTAAGTTTCAAGTAAAAACTGCGAGTAGTTTTAATGACTGGTATGTTGCATGTAAAAGTACTAAAACTTAAACCCAGATTTTTTCTTTGAGATGTTTCATCTACATGTAATTTGAAATAACTGAAATGACAGTTCCACTTCCTTTTCAGAGAAATCCATTCCCAAAGTTTGGGTTGTACCAAAATTTGTACCAAAGACTTTAAAATTTGGGGAATAAATGTTAATTGGGAGTTGTAGAAAATAAGTGAGAAGTTACATACCTAAACGTCAGTGTCAATTATTTTATAAATGAAGAAAATTGAAAGAAAATAACATATCAAATATTTCTACACATTTAACATAAAAAATACACTTCTAGAGGGTTTTGGTCGAACACCTGTCTCATGTTAAAGAAATTTAAATAATAGTGAATAGACATCCATTAACATGATCAAGTAAATATAGCATAATTTTCTGTGCATAGCAACCATCTGCTTATTTTTAATTAACAATTTTACTAATTACTTTAGTCAGTAATTTAGTGTTTTAATACCAAGTTTCACTGAGTATTTCTCATTTATTCGTTTCCTCAGCAAATCCATTTTTGTCACTTTACTTCGATTTGGTTTCCACATAACCTTTCCTTTTATGCCGTCTCCTGCATCCATTTTAAGTTGTAAAAATGATCATAAACCAGTAAATTTTACAATTTGTAACGAATTGACTTGTTTGACAGCAATGTGTGACCTGTCAACACATAAACAGGAAGTGACTACGCTACCGGTTTTTTACTTCCGGTTTAAAATAGGGCGTTAATAAAATAGCACTGTAGGGTCAGTTTTAATTTTTGATCCAGCAAAATAAAAGGGTAGACATTGAAATGAATACACTATATTCGTTGCGATAGATCTTTCATTTGAAAAACATTGAGTTTCTAGCGTAAGAATATATCGCGTGAGATTTCGAGTATCTATAGACTGAATATCGGTATCCGGTATATCTACGGATTTTTGAGGACCACTAATAGTAAAAGTTTGATTAGGCGCGAAATTACAAATAATTACAGTGTTATTGAACGATGACACCCTTATTCTTATCTAAGAATATATGTGTAGCTACTCATTGGACTTAACAGTAGAAATATTGCATTAAATCTACACTAGCCTGTAATATGTATACTTGTAACAAATGTGGGACGTGTATTGTACATGACTTATCTGGATGTGCTAGATCTATAACATTATTTAACAGACGGCTGCATTATGTAAAAATTAAAATAATCCAACTATAAAATAACTATTTGCCGGTATTCTCTCGGTGTTTCCCGGTCTCTCCTGGTCATTTTTGACCGACAAATACTATCTAGAGATCGTCGAATACTATATCACACGTGTCGCCTCGGTTTCTCCAGGTTTTGAAGTAAATATCTTTATTTATTTCGTGACAAATATGACCAACACCCTAAAAAAACCCGGTACAGACCGGACCAGTAAATATGATTCTAGATCTACTTATGGCATAAAACAAAACATTGTTGGGTCGCAGGAGGGGAAACAAAGATCCTTTAATGTATATGGCCTATTTATAGATTTATTTATTTCATAGTGATTATTTTGATACATTTTCCCCCGTGCACAGTGGGACGTCTGTTTTTGTGTCTCGAACCATATGTTTGGTCACTGGCAAGTCGAATTAACTGTACAATATGTACATTGTTTCTGTTCGAGGACAGACACGGCTTGGAATTGACGTAACGTCGTGCATACCATATGCATTTATATTCTGTTGTGTGAAATCAGTACTTAATCATAAAATGAAGTTTAATTTATTAGTCTATTTAATCTAATTAAGGTTCTGCTTTTTTGAAAACAGGTGGCATTGTGACTTTAAACCAAATTGAAAATACAGCTTTAGTCACACAACCAAAAATGTGCCTAGACTTTGTAACTTGTTTGTTTATTAACTCATTTAAATAATTATGATAAGTAGATAACAAAACAATCTGGTGTTTATTCATGTTTTATTTATGTCGTACATTTTACCCAATAGAATCATAACATATAATAATAAACAATAGAGAAATAAAAAAATCTGTTTATTTTAAGATGTACACATGTAAATACACAATAGCTTATAACGTAACTAAAGAAAGAACGTAGGGAAGATTGAACCAACAATTTATCTATTTACAAGTTTAGTGAACTTAAAAGAGTGACAATGAGTGATATTGATAACATGAAAAAGGATTCTTTTTCAAGTACGCCGCAATCATTAAAATCTACATAGCCCTTAAATGACAGAAATTTAAATTTGATTCCAGACAAAAAGCATCCTAGCCTAAATTGCTATAACCAAATAGAAAATGATTATGTTCTCCTCGTTGCCAAATTTATGTTAAGACTTAAAACAGTCCAATGTGTTTCAATTCATATTGATTTAATATCAGTAAAATATTTACATAATTGAAAACGCAACTACCAGATATTTTTCACTAGTAAAAGTTTCTTTGTTTACAAATACATGTAAGTACACCTCTCGGAATTTACTGACTGTTATGTGCATATAAAATTCAAAAGAATGAAAACTATTTTTTAATAAAAAAATCACGTAAATAGCTAAATATAAACAAAATAGCTCTCATTTGATTAAGGCTAACAAATAAGCATACTTTATATTAGATAATATATGTTAAACATGTTATTAAACAACTCATACATGTATACATACAGTCAATTTTATATACACATGCAATAAATTATGTACACATTATATTATCAAGTAAAAAACAAAATCTAAAATAAGCATGGTTGTCACGTTATCGTAAGCTATTTGTTTATGGGCTTGTTTGTTTTGGCAAAACATTTTTATCAGTTCGTTTAATTGAGTCATTTCGGTAGTTTTTTACCCACGTAACACTTGAACACTATTGCGCATGTTGGTCAAGCCCGTTTTCGGTTTTAGTCACACCCTTTTTAAAGCCAGAAATCCCCATTGGACCTATGCAAACAAACTACCTATCTCTGAACTGGGAATGGTGTTCATTAATGACATGTATTTATTTTATATGAATCATTCATTTTGAAAAGTACAATTTAAACTTGTTTTCTTTTTTTTTCTCAAAATTATCGTTGATAAAATGGACACTAAACCATACGCTTCTTGTACATGTATGCTAGCAACGACGTGATGATACCATTCCAGAAAAAAATCTACACCATTTCGAACATTTTTTCGCTTTAAAGTCCTAGCCCATTTTAAAGCAGACGAAATAAATTTGACATAAGATATCACCCATCTTTTCTATTATTTATAATGATTCCAGTGTTTCGCGTTTCATTCTAACAATTTTTTTTTCAGGCATTAAGTTGTTGTTTATGACACTATGAATGGTTGGTTAAGACGTTGGCGTCATTTCCGGTATCAGTAATCGCTCTTAGCATGTAGACCGTCATTTTCACCATCTGTGCAATTTCCGTTACTAACAAAAGCAATAGGGTTGAAATTGCCTAGCCTGAAACATTGGTACAAGAAAAATGGTAAAAAACACCTAACATCTTAACATGAGCAATCTACAAGGTTTCTATATTTGAAACACTCAGAACCATTTCATCCACTCAGCATTGAAATACAATTATTGAAATTTCCTGAATTTGTGAACGAACAATTATCTTTTTAACAGCACATTAATCATAGTATCGTAATTCCTACATTTTGAAGTTGTTATCTGATATATTGTGTGAAATTTAAAGTTGATTTGAGACACCGTAACATTCAAATTTCAAAAGAGCAAATTTTTACCATTGGAAAAAATCGTATAAACTTTTCACATATTAACCACACTTTTTTGTAAAATCAGATTTTAAGTAACTCTCTACATTGTCTTTGAATAATAAAATAGCACGCGAATTTCATACATTACAGCAGACTCAGATTTCATGTAAAAATATATGTAAATGAATCGGATTTCTTACATGAAAGAGTAAAACACTTAGATTTGTAGAATTACATTTAAAGGTATTCCACTGAGGTTGATTTGACATAATGGAACTTGAAATGAGCCGCGTCACGACAAAAACCAACATAATGGGTTTGCGACCAGCATGGATCCAGACCAGCCTGCGCATCCGCGCAGTCTGATCAGGATCCATGCTGTTCGCTTACCAACTCTAATACAAGTAGAGAAACTGATAGCGAACAGCATGGATCCTGATCAGACTGCGCGGATGCGCAGGCTGGTCTGGATCCATACTGGTCGCAAACCCATTATGTTGGTTTTGTCGTGACGCGGCTCAAATAACTTTTCAAGATACTCTATTTGATGCAGGACCAATAACTTGTGTGCAGAATTTTAGATCGTCGCTCACTCCATTTTTTCCAGAATGATTATTCTAATTTTGAAAAATGAGAGAATAGCACAAAAATACGATTAACAATTTATTTCTGGAAATATTTCTTAATTACCTTTTGCATATTTTTTTCTGTTTTATTTCTCCCAGGTAATCTATGTAAGGCATTCAAATTTTATGTTTTTAGACTTTTTGGACCTCAGTGAAGTTCCTTTAAAATATATGTTTATCTTTCTTTACTTATAGGTACGAAGCTGGTATCACTAGCAAGATAAAATAAAGACATACTCGCACACATTTCTTTGGTATTCCTGCTTCAGGTGGCACATACTGTCGTACGTTACCCCATCAGAACCACATACTGGTTTGTACATGTCCGTACAGTTCAGCGTCTCGGTACAATTGAAATCATCGTTTGATTTGAATATTAATCTTTCTTCCCTGGGCAGGCACATGTAGCCTGAAATTAGTGAAATAATAATATATAAAATAATTTAAACAACAACAACAATAACAAATAAACAACAATATCTATCTATAGATTTTACCTATCTATTGGCGCATTGAAAAAATATTTTAGATGCAGTATTTTTAGCATATTTGATAACAAATTGTTCATTGAATAGGGACCAGTAAGCAAAATTTACTGCAAAAGGTTCTTAAAAATACATTGCATTTTAAAGGAACTCCGCTGATGTCCAAAAACCTAAAAAACATTAAATTAAATAAATAATTATGTTGATTGTATTTAGTATCATACGTGGATATTCTAGAACAAAATATTATCTTAACTATCAAATATATCTTTATCATAATCACTATAGAACTCTATCAACATTTTACTCTCCTAAAATATTCCATTAAAATATCCTAAAGATACGACTTTGTTTTCATCAAAATTTAAAATATATATGAAAATAGTGCACCTTGAAGTGACAGATGCACTTAAAATACAAAAGATGTGCAAAAATATAATTAAGAAATGTATTCAGAAATAAATTGAAAATCGTTATTTGCATTTCATAGCCCTATTTGAGATAAAGGCGTTGTTGTAGCGTTGTTTGGACCTATAACAAATGAAACATTCATCTCGACATGTAATTTCCAGTCCTCTTTAACCTACGATTGTTAATTTAAAAAATAATGAATGAATTTATTATATATCTAAAAAAATTAACCAATCGGCAATCTGCATTTGTACCTCGTGACCTTCCAATATATTCCCGTATTTGATAAAAGAAAAATATTTTCATTTTGGACGGGTTCATGTGCACTAAACGATGCTGGTGTGGCCTAACAAATTTAATTGTATCAGTCAAATCCACCGAAATCCTAAAACTTATGTTTGTACACAACAAAACCATCCGTGAATTATTTATTACCTTTTCTTTTAAAAATAATTGACAGGAGTCACAGGGCAATAATAATAATAATAATAATAATAATAATAATAATAATAATAATAATAATAATAATAATAGTAGTAATAGTAATAATAATAATAATAATAATAATAATGATAATAATAATAATAATAATAATAATAATAATAATAATAATAGTAATAATAATAATAATAATAATAATAATAATAATAATAATAGTAGTAATATAATAATAATAATAATAATAATAATAATAATAATAATAATAATAATAATAATAGTAAATAAATTTTAAAAACAAAGAATGGATTGTATAAAAAAAACAACGAGAAATTGTATGAATATAGAATCAGATCCTATATACGTAATGATTTTGAAGTAAACTAATATAAAATTGCAAATACGTTTAGTATAGAAGAATTGACATGATATTTAAAGAAAGTACCGAATTATACTTATATGTTTAGATATCTTGTTAAAAAATGAACTTTAGATGATAATTGTTAAAACAAAATTCATTAGATTTACACTATAAAAATTCTAGAAAAAACACAACAACAAAACAACAACAACAATTAAATTTTAAATGCATAGCACTGTAATATTTTCATTGATCAATGAAACTGGAAAACAAATAAGGAATTTGAATGTACAAAAATGACCCACAAAGTCAAGAAAAAGCAAATATTGTAATTCTAAATGTACAATACCTGTAAGAAGAAAAGCACAAATACTTAGAGCAAAGCTAAGGGTATCCATATTTTTTATGTTCAAAATTTTGAAATTACTATTACGTAAGCATCAAGTTGAAAATGTTTTTAAAACACACAGAAGTAAAGCACAAGACTTCATTATCGTCAATGTGAAATGACAACCAGGTCGATTTGAATGAACGAGATTTTTTTTTATCTTCGAGTTAGTTTCTATAAACAATTGACCCTTTTTTGATCGACGTCAATTGAAATCACATTTACGTCAGAGTTTCGGTTAATGACGCATTCGGACAGAATAAGGGGACTACAGATAAAGCTTGAGGTTACCGTGTTAAAGCAAAGGCTGGTATACATGAGCCGCGTCACGACAAACCAACATAATGGGTTTGCGACCAGCATGGATTCAGACGAGCCTGCGCATCCGCGCAGTCTGATCAGGATCCATGCTGTTCGCTATCAGTTTCTCTACTTGTAATAGAGTTGGTAAGCGAACAGCATGGATCCTGATCAGACTGCGCGGATGCACAGGCTGGTCTGGATCCATGCTGGTCGCAAACCCACTATGTTGGTTTTGTCGTGTCGCTGCTTTAATGTAATATCAACATTTGCAGCCTAATGTTAAAATTGACAAGGGAGTGGTTTGAAGTTCTCCTGTTAAACCGTAGCACGAAATTGACAATGGGAGGTTAGAATCCAAATCTCAGACCTCCTTTCTTAATCAATGCCTGCTAATTTAAGCTTTATTTCGTATGTTTGCTCTCATAGCCGTTCACGTCAACCCGTCCAATATCGGTCTGTTTACAATTCTATATCGAATAACACAGATATAATCCTAGTGCTTTCGTTTTTTTTCTGTGACATTGGTTTGGTGCACCGCAACACTATATACACGCACCTCGTCTGTTATATAATATTTTATATTATGCATATTTCAGAATATAATACTATAGTATAGTCGTTATTTACATGTAAAATAGTGCAATGTCGAACCTGGTACTTTCATGATTAAGACTCAACTGTCTGATGACATCGCACTCGCACGAGTAAAGCACGTGGAAACCAGTTTTTCTTTATACGAGCAAAAATTAATGAAACACAGAATACGGAATCAAAATTATATTTTTATACTCATGCAAGAATAGCGTTAATGCACATTTTTCGTGTATTAACATCTGCAGAAGCCCTAGGATTTATCAAAGCCCTCGTCCTGCGCACTCGAGCTTTAAATTCGTCAGATGTTTATGCACGAAAAATGTGTTTAACTCTCGTTGGTGTGATGACGATTTCTATATTTAGTTTTGCGCAACTAATTTTCACATAACAGGAACAATATTAAGGGTATTTTTTGCGTATCACAGAAGTAAGGGTGTGTTTTGAAGAAGAAATAAATGATTCACGTGGTGCTTAAAATGAACTGCCGTATGTTTGTTTAATTAAATCCAACCAAGATAAAAAAAGAAATTAATAACATATAAACAGAATGCACAATAATAAAAATGACAGAATTTCACTGATTTTGTGTCATGTTTTTGTAAAAGCAGTTAGTGCAATTACTCATAGCATATTTGTAAGTTGTAATATCTATTAAGCCATTGCACTAAATAAAGAGGAGGTGTCAAAAATTGGTACGATGATGACGCCCGTAAATTTGATTCATTTGTGAGTACTTATAACATATTCACGTTACGATCGTAACATGTTTGTGCCTTAAAACACTTTAAGAGTGAGTTCGAAAAAAACAAACTTATTGTATCTTTTTATCTCTTTCATACTAAACAATTTGTTAAACAATAAAAAATAAATGTGAATAAAATTGACGGACTTTACTCTAAGACGTGACTCACCATTGAATACATTCACCTTTACCAAATATTCATGACGGAAACTTTATAAAGTAGACTCAAGTTCGACGCATTACAAGCTTTGATAGACATATCAAATTAGAAATCCTTAGATAATCAAAAGGTGAATGGATTAGCGGTTATACTATGAGACAGTCTACGTCTTATCTCCTCCCCTTTATTAAGTCATCGAAACTGGACCAAGCCCTAACCGAAATAAAACCATGGTACGGGGTCAGTCAATATTAACCGTCTCCGTATTTACTTTAAAGCCAATTTATTTCAGCGTAATGCAATAACTATACACCTCCGTTTTTTCATCTTCCCAACCAGTAAGTTTCGTAAATATGTCGTAAACGTTATTTATTTACAAGATACTCGAAACTATCGTGAATAAAACCCATAACATAAATTTTACCATAACAGTCCTATTTTAATCAAAATTGCGACGAAATCAGTCGCTGATTTATAACATTTGTATAAAATGATATAGACGTTTTGCAAGTTAATTAATTAATTAATTTATTTATTTATTTTTTGAATCACTGAATAATTTTGTACTTCGCTATTTTTGTTAATTTCTGGAATACGTTCTGATCGATGTTGACCTAATGACAAGAGATAGTTTTATGAATATTCATAATGTTAATAACATAAATATCTTGCCATATGTTACAGCCAAGTTAATTTACAAGTAAATAAAGTAAAATATTCATCAATAAAATTGCCATTAGTGAATATTTTTCCCCTTTTTTTACTTTTTATCAAGTTTACTTCCGTTGGCATTCATATCCTTGATTGAAAAAATTCATTTTTATGTTTATTTTCTTTTGAAAATAAATATTATTTAGATATTATCAAGTTAAAGCATAAAAAGTATCTTCATACATACGTACACCAATCAAACTTCCACAAGACTTTTCCTTTATGTTAATTAAGCAACAACAAATTCAAAAAGAAAGCTCAATATTATTGTAGATTTGTAAACAGGGAGAAAAATGACATCAGTAAAGAACGCCCAAAAACGTCAAAATGGATAATGTTGCAGGCTCCCTTTAATTAAGCCTGTACATGGACGGTGCTGGTACGTGCAATCTACAGTCCAGGCCTGCTTAGCACCGGCTTTAGCAGAATTCAACATTTGAACATGTTCAAGGTGAACTTTGGAATTTACTTAATTTAGAAACATCTCCAGATGTTGGGAAATTAATGTTAAGTAGGATTGGTCTACAATGGGCACAGTTTCCATAAATATTTCAAATTTTGATGAAAGCAATAGAAATGTGTCATTTGAATGTAATAAAATGCTTGAATAAAAGTAATGAAAATTTTAACTGATTAAGTATGAACAATATATGATGAATAATGATATTCTGTTTTTGAACATTATAATATCTGCAATATAAATATAATATAGATCAATGTTTTGTTGTTATGTTTTATAATAAATTCTGTCAAAATAATTACTTATTGTATTACAGACCTTCCATTATAGATCAATTCACTTTAATTTCTTATTTTTACAGCAGCTGTAATTTTTTTGCACAGCTTTCGCATAAAGTATTTTCCATCCAAGATGTTCCTTAATTTTTGTTTGATGTAAAGTCACAGAACAAGTTTGAATTCTGATCCCCTTTCAAAATTCCATTTTGTTCAGTTCCGCCCATTGTTTTCTCGTTTAGGACACACGCTTTCTATTACTTAGGACAATATGCCGCTTTTCATGGAATGGCACTAACGTGTCACATGGAAAGTTTCATGATAACCGCCGTATGAACACATCTGCAGATGTTTCTAAATACAAAATTTCACCAATTTCACGTTAAAATGTTGAATTCTGCTTAAGCCGGTGCTAGGGGGCGTGAACGGAAGTTTGCACTTTAAAGTACCATCCATGAACAGGCTCAATCAAACCGAGCCTGCAACATTTTCCATTTTGCCGTTTTGGACTTTCTTCAGGGATTCTTATTTTCTATATTTGAAAGGGGTGAAAAGTCGGTTTTATATAAATAAAAAATTTCAGCCCAACCATTTCCGAATATTTTATTTCTCTTTAAAATCTAGTCTTCGGCAAACTCAGAGTTGTTAATTTTGGTGACCATTTGCAAGGTGCTCGTTTCTAAAGGCATGTGTCTTGTAAACTGAACATGTGGGTCCCGGTGCCATTTAATGATTATAATTCATTTGGCATTTTTTGTATAAGAATATTTAGCGTTTTAAAACCTGTGTCTTTATGTCTTTATTCCAGAATGTAATTGTTAATGAGTACCATCCTCGGACATTTTTTCATAACTTGAACATCGGCTGAACTTTGGAACTTTGATTTCTTTGAGGAAAAAAAACCCCAAATGATTCTTACGATTGAACTGCTATCGGGCTGGCAGTTAGAATAAGCGTTGAGTTGATATGACATTTTGTATCTCCTGGTCGTCTTAATGCTTTTTGATTTTTTAAAGAAATTGTCGTTTCTCATGTTTCTGACTACAAGGAATGATAAGATCAAATGACCTTTCAGATAAAGAAAACCAAAGTTCCTCATCATGTATTTTCAAAGCGTTCATGAAGAAGAAGAGAAAAAAACATAAAAAGACAATGATTTTTGGTAGATTTATTTAAGTGTTGAAACGAATAATAATAACTTTTATATCAATTTGGTTTGAAACATTAATGTTGAAAGTAAAAAAAAAAAAGTAAAAGTTTATGACTGAAAATGTAATTAAAATATTCAGTACAGTATTTGTTCCATTTAAGAATAATAATACAATATTAAAGGTTACATATAGGCAAAAAATGCTCTCGCATATCAAATGCCGCTTTAAGAAAGAGAAGTGATTTAAGATAATTTTCAAACAACATACATTGTATACATCAAATAAGAACAAATACTAAATGGTTCTTCTTAACGATTAATTTCAGTTTAACGCAATATTTACGTTAAAACAACACGTATACATGTATATCAAATGCAACTTTAGGAAAAGTCAAATACAGGAAACAGAGATCTTTAATATCCAAGGTTAGCACTGGAACAAAAGTTCACGATTTGAATCCAAACACTGCCGTGAAAGTTTTTAGCAATGTTTAGAGCCGTGAGCTAAGCGATAAGGTTGGCTTAAATGTGGTAGTCTAGGTAAAGTCTTCATTTGCATTGCGTCAAGTAGTTGCACAACCTTGCTATCGTCTGCTCTCTTAATTTCCCTTGTAGTTGACAACGATGTCGGTACGGACTTTATCCCCGTCATTTACACCCTTCCCATCATCGTCCGTACAGTTTCCGTCCTTGACAACAAGTATCGGGTTGAAATTCCCGACCCTGAAATATTAAAACGATAAATAAATATAACAT